TATATAATTTTTTACACTGCTCAATAAAACTCTCATAAAATAACCTCATATATTTTGCATTATATTTTGCACAATTGCCCCACTGTGCGCATAGATAAATTATATATTATGGCCTATTGAAGCGTTTGCTATAAAATAGATTGTCATAGGTTTTCAGCAAGACACTGAATGCGTAGTATATCTTTCCTGAAAGTGGGGTTGGGCGTGAGGCGTGGCAGCTGTTGTCGTTCTTGGTGCCAACTAAGAAGTGCATTTAATTTCGTTTATATAGAGATATTGATTTAATTTACTGCATTCCAACAAGGACGAATCTCCGCATATCCATATCCAGCGGGCAAAGTGTAAGGGGACTACCCCCAATGGAAGAACCCGCCCTCAACTTGGTATTTTTGGGGTGGTTTCTATTTGATTTTTTCTTCTCCTGTTGTCATTCAAGTTCAAGGTCATGCAAAACCTTTACCCTTATTTTCTATATTTTGTTCTTTTCATTTTTTTTTTTATGAAAAAATTAACTGTGACTCTCAAACTGTATCCAGTGAAGCGTCGCGATTCTCCATGCAAATCAATAATATGGAATTGGAAATGCTTTCATCTATGCCTCGCTGAGCCTCAACTGTCTATAAGTAATTAACAAGCACGTGCAAACATAAAGTGCAACAACAACAGCAACAACGACAACAACAACATACGAAGGTCTCGAATCAATTAAGTGGAAACTTTTACCAGCATGTAGCTTACATTGAAGTTCCAAGTGAATTGGAACCTTAAAGCGGGGCTTGTCGCTTATTGTTAAATGAATCAATTTTGCAAATTGAATCGATTAAGAGTGTCAACTGTACCCAATAAAACTGGAAATATGGCAAACATTAAGTTTTTAAACGCATTACCCAGATAAGACCTCTTCAAATTTGCCGCAGAAGACTTTTTCGTATGAGAAATCTATAGAACTTATATGATTCATGAAACGTCCTGCTGTGCGATTCTCAAAGTACTATCCATCTAACCAATATTTTTTAATATTTCCTATTCAAATTCAATGGTATTCCACATTGAGCTTTACTATGCGATTCTCATCACAGTATTTTATACATATGCCAAAATACATACATACATATATCAGAAATTCCATATATATTTTCTGTCAACCCTCGCGTATACAATACAATTATCGATAGATATACATATATATATATATACGCATATATGTATGTATATGTAAACATGGATAGCAAATGGCAAATGTTGTATATTTCATTTATACCAGGGCAGTCTAAAAAGTTTTCGAAATAGTTATATATAATATAAAATATATGTACTTATAAAATATACATATGTACATATACATGAAATGTACATACGTATGTTTATAGCTATGCTAGTCTGCATAAATTAATATGCCTATACACACATACATATGTATATTTACCTTTTTATTCATGTATGTACATATGTATGTATGCATAAAATGTTTAAATGGCATGATTGGAATGTATGCATATACATATGTATGTACGTATGTATGTATGTATGAACATATGCCAATCAACTGTATACACCGATTGCAAATAAATAAATAAAAAACCTTCTATTGAAATGCTGCCCCTAGTCAATTCTTATGAATTAAAATAAGACTTGTGGGTTTTTATCAATCAAAAAGTAATTGTGTTTGGTAACCAAAAGTTTTCTCTACTCCTTCCTTTCTTTACCTTCCACTTGGCTTCTTCTATTATTATTCACACAAGCACACATACATACGTATGTCTGCATATATATCTATATCAACTGATATATGTAAATATGTTTTCTTTTCGTTTTGCTTTATTTTGTTGTACTGTTTTGAGTACAGCGAATTCACGAGTTTATCGCCTGATATGAAAACGCGTGCGAAACAAGAGAGGGCATGAACAACAATAGAAATTTTGGCAGAGCGTAAAGAACAAAAAAGAGGCAATGAGGCGAGCGACGCTTTAAAGTTCTTATTGGAAATTTATATGCAAGCGAGTAGATATCTATGTATATACACACACACACACGTACTTTGAGGCAGCAGCGTGGCAACAGCGAAAGCGTAGGTGGAGTAGAGTAGAAGAAGCAAACAGAATTAACCGAAAAACAATGCAAAATAAGCTCAGCTTTATTGATGAAAGCCAGACATATCCAGATAGATCCAAGCAATATCCGTTAGGTGCAAAGTGCTCAAAGAGCGGGCGAGAAGGAGACAGCGGAAGTCAGCGGGAGACAGGTAAAGAGTATATCAAACGATAACTGTACTTTAACAACAGTTTGAGCTGCTATAGAGAACAAATTGAGTTATAGCCTGTCCAGCTGCCCAGGCTATAGTCTGCGACCTTGTTGGGGTTGTTGCTGCCGCTTCTGCGGCTGCTGTTGCTGCTGCGGCTGATGCCAATCACTTTGTTTACTCGTGATATTATAAGTACATATGTATGTACATATATACATATACATATATGAGCAAAAAGCATGTATTCCTGTTTGACGTAAGCTTAAGAAAATTATATGAAATATTTCCTCTGTTAAAAATACATATATGCATGTGCCCATGTGTGTTCGTGTGTAGCTTTGTAATACAGCAACCAATAGACCAATACAGTTTTACAGTAACTGCTCAGTTTATCAGCCGCAAGTTTGTTGTTGGTTTATAATTATTTATAGCTCTTTTGAGTTAATTGTCTCTTAAAATTATTAATAATCATTAAGTACACTGAAACGTCTCGATGCTTCAATTCCAATAAGATGCCAATAAGACAGTCAATATTTCTGTGCGCGTGAATCATAAGCTATTGCGTATGTAGTGGGAAGTGGGCTGGACGATGAAAGCTCTACAAAGGGATGACCAATTATTTTACAGGCAAACGAAATACGTCGAATTGGAATGTGAAAACTAGAAAGTACGAGAAAAGGATAGCACGATATCGTGGTCTTTTTGTTGTGATTGCCGCATCAGAAGCAGCACTAGTAGTAACAGTTGTAGCAGCTGCGAGGCGACATCAACAGCAACAACAACAAACTTGAAAACAGCTGCACATGGCAACAGCGCATGTCGAACTGTAATATTTTCGAACACGCCGTCCGCAAGGACAATAACTGTACCCTAAAGATAACACACAATGGATTTGCAAAAAGTACATTTCATTTGCACGAATGCAAGATCAGAAGCCAACTATTAAGCGAAATATATTGCCGCTTTCATGCCTTTAAAATTTCAATTCATTTATTGATTTTTCCGATAAAATGTTTAAAGAGATTTGATGAGAAAGAAAAGAAGGTAATTGCTAATCTGCATGATATAGATGTACATACACCTACACACACATTCGTACACACCATGCACAGAAATTTACGCACATACAAACATAGTCCACGCGGGCTGATAAAACGAAGAGCAGAAAAATATAGACACGCGGCGCCAGCAGGACTACGCAAGGATACACAGGAGACCATATACATACACCCACTTCTATATGTACACACACTTATTGAACACGGCTGTTCGCTACTCTGCACCTATTTCATTCTATTGGCAAACTATTCGCTACGCTTGCCGCCTACATATGATTAGCATGTTGTTAACAAATGGTTTTTAATTTGCTTATTACTCACTTAAATAGCAACACTTTTCTCAAATCACAATTTATTTGACGAGAAATTGAAGCGTGATGAACGCGCGCGCACAACTGCGAGCACCGGCTTGCAGAAAAATGACGATAGTTCTTTTATATCGATATGTTGACATCATCGATAGAAAAGTTACCCAACTTAACAGCCGATAGCCATCAGTTTAACAGAAATCATATTAAAATTAATAAAGCAGCTTTTTAACAAAACTTCAAAGCACATTCTATCAAAGCTTTTGCATGCAAGCGCTTAACTGGTTTTCAACCCCTTGCGACCGCTGTTAACAGTGGTCAACTACTGGGCTGTTAGTGCCGCTGTTATGTTAAGTAACATTTCGGTCTCACTTTTGTTTTTCTTCAAGCACAACAAAAACATATCGTGACATTACAAAAAACTTTGGAAATTCCAAAACAACAAATTAAATATTTGGTTGCCAACAAAGTCGCAATGTTCCACTTTAGTGGCTTCAATATGATGTTCCCAGATGGCGGACGTAGCTTTCAAGTTACTTACAAATGCTTCTCAGTTTCTATGCTACCAGGCAATGAGCGCTCCGACGTGGAGAAGGGCGGAAAAAGTAAATAAAACTAAATATATATATTTGTATGTAATGAATGCTATACAGGCAAAGCGTTTGCTTACAGTTATCATGCCGCCATCTGCACTGGATTCACTCACTCGCCTAAATGTGGAATATCCCATGCTTTTCAAGCTGACCAACAAGAAGAAATCGCGCTCCTCTCACGCTGGCGTCTTGGAATTTGTTGCCGACGAGGGCAAATGCTATTTGCCCTACTGGATGATGGATAATCTGCTGCTGGAGGAGGGCGATATACTGAACATCGAGAGCGTCTCCCTGCAAGTGGCCACGTTCTCCAAATTTCAACCACACAGCACTGACTTCTTGGACATCACCAATCCAAAGGCCGTGCTGGAGAATGCCTTGCGTAACTTTGCCTGCTTGACCAAGGGCGATGTCATCGCCATCAAGTACAACAAGAAGGTGTACGAACTGTGCGTGCTGGAGACCCGACCTGGCGATGCCGTCAGCATCATTGAGTGTGATATGAATGTGGAATTCGAAGCTCCGGTGGGCTATAAGGAGCACAGCGAACAACAGCCGGCTACACAGTCAGGTGGCCAAGCTGCAGGCGGGAATGACGCAAGTGCAGGCGTTGCTGTGCACGAGGAGCTGGTGGAGACCTTCAAAGGCTCCGGCGTGCGTCTGGATGGCAAAAAAAAGAAGGACAGCCAGCTGGAGACGCCGGTCCTCAAAAAGGTCTTGCCGCGCGGCGTTCCCGATTACGATTACCAGTTCGGTTTGCTGCGCTTCGATCGCTCCATCAAACCAATCAGCGATCGCGGCCAGGAGGATGCCGAGGCGACCGGCGAAGCGGCTGGCGCCGATACGGACAGCTTCCATGGCACTGGCTTCTCAATGAAGAAGACGCGCAAATAGTATGTAATCGCCTCTCACATAATTCTTTAATCGTATGTTGCACATGGCTCACATAACAGCAAATAGCAAAAGTAAGAAATGAAATTCCCGCAAAAACAAATGTCCAAAGTTTCCAAATAATTCTACAAATTGAGGGTCAGCTTGAGCTCCGGCTCCTTTGGCAGTGGTGGCGGCGCTACCGTCGTCATGGGAGGCAGTCGCCGTATCTTCCTACCATGTTTGCCTTCCTTTCGCTTCCACAGACCAGACCGGGGCCGATTGCCCAACTCTCGCATGCGTTGCGCGCTGCCCACATGCTCCTTGTTGTGTTCCACATTCGATAAGCGTCCCACCGTGGCCATGCAGGTGCGATCGAAGGCAAACTCCCGTTTGGAGGGCAACTGCACCACCACCTTGTCATCGAACTTGCGCAGAATGGTGCCAAAAGTGCCGGCGGCATGGATCAAATGGCAGGGTTGGCCGGGATTCTTTTCCAGGCAATGAATGCGTGTGCCCACGGGCAGGGCGCCCAACGGATAGGCATCGCCGTCATTCGGTCGAACTGTAATGCCAAGATTGTGATAAAGTTGCTGTGGGAATAGTTTAGCTCATCGGCTCACCTGGTATACGTGGAATCACACGCGACGTTCTCAGTATATCGCCCACTCGCATATTCTCTGTGGCCAATATATACTTCAACTCGTCGCCGACAGCAACTAGTGCCACCTTTGCTGTGCGGCAGCCATCGTGAAGCAGCTCCACAACGATCTCCTCCTGCGGGGCTCCTTCGCTGGGGCCATCGCGCACCCATTTGATCCAACGATATTGCTGTTTGATGCCGCCGCCAATGCCCTTGGCGACCATGCGACCGCTGACGGGATCACGGCCAGCTAAATGGGTTATCTTCAGAGGTGCCACCGTATATTCATCCGGAAAATGAACTATACGCCGGAATTGCTGCCCGGCACCTGGCTTGGGTTTCTCGACCACCTTCGTCTTGGTACGCAACTGTTGGAGCACAGATAATGAACCGCGCTGCTGCGGCTGCAGTGTTAATGTGCATTTGCTAAGCAGGCGTGTGAGACTTTGCATTTTCACAGAAAATTCCTTTTAATTGTATCTCATGCAAATTGGTTACAAAACGGTACCATTAACAGACTTTCAGCACACTGTTAGCAACAGCTGGAAACAAAGTGTGGCCAGGCATCGCCAATTAGTTGAAATTATTTGGTTGGAAAAAATTTCATAATCAGGGCTACAGTGAACGTCTCTGCTTCTTCTTTATCGTCACGTCGTGTGGGCAGCTGCTGCGGAGCGCGCTGCTAGCAAATAAGAATTGAAAAAAAACCGCATTAAAATTGTGAAAAGTGCACAAATTAAGTTAAAAGTAAACATATATATAAGGTGTAAATTGAATTTGTTAAAAAATTTGCATAAAGTACACAGCGAAAACGGCAGTAAAAAAGGTACGAAAAAATAATAATAAACAAGGCGAACGAGCCGATAGAAAGAAAAATAAGATACACACACAAACATGCTGTTGATACACACTCACGCACACAATATCACACACACACGCTCAGTGTCGAACGAACTGCACGAAAAACGTGTTGTGTGCTAAATTTTCTGTGCAAAAAATAGAAAACGCAAAAACAAAAAGTAGCTAAAGCGAAATAATAATAAAAAGCGAAAAACAAAAACAGTTTAGTTTGATAATCAATCGTAAGGCGAATGTAACAAAAACAAACAATAGTATGTATTAATTAATATGGATAGAACAGTAAAAGTAAAATAAGGAGAATATAAATAAAATGTATTTGTTATTTTGGAACATGTTAGGTGATGTACATACATCTCGTATGTGGAACTGTGTGCGTAAATGCGTATGTGCATGTGCGTGTGTGTACCCTTAACTGTGTGTACATATTTTGGTGTTAGGTGGAAAAAAAAGCGGGCGGCAAGTTTACGCAATCGCCGTCCAACGAACGAAGCAACAAACATATTTACATACATATATGTATGTATGATGTACATACGGCGTTCGTTGAGAAAAGTGTGCTTTCTGTATGTTTACGCTTTTCGTCTGTCCTTTTGTCCGCAGTCGCCGCAATAAGTGAGAGACAAACAAGACACATGCATACATATTTACATTTTTCACATGCATACATACAGAGATATGTACYTATGTATGTATGCACAAATGTACGTATACTCAAGCAGGTGGAGTCGCGCCGACGTCGTTTGTTTTTGATTTTCTTTTTGTTTTTTGTTTTTCGGTTCCGTTGCTAGCTGAAAAAATCAACGAGCGGCATTTTTACGCATTTTCAATATGCCTCATCTATATGAGTATGTGTGAGGGCTTGTTTATGTATGTATGTATATGCGCGCTCTTGTTCGGTATATATATATA